CCAACAGGTGGAATCGAACCTGGGAACCTCTGGAGCCTCGTTCCTGAGCTTCGACCACACGAGTGGAAAACCAGCTGCTGATTGGCTAAGGCTGTAGAGCACGCTCATGGGTCTCCTTGTCAGGTGGGGTGGGGAACCAAAGGCCAGGGGCCCGATGTGGTCCCTGGCTTGCCTGGATCTGGCCCCCAAAACTTGGGGCTCCAACAGGTGGAATCGAACCTGGGAACCTCTGGAGCCTCGTTCCTGAGCTTCGACCACACGAGTGGAAAACCAGCTGCTGATTGGCTAAGGCTGTAGAGCACGCTCATGGGTCTCCTTGTCAGGTGGGGTGGGGAACCAAAGGCCAGGGGCCCGATGTGGTCCCTGGCTTGCCTGGATCTGGCCCCCAAAACTTGGGGCTCTCCCCTGCATGGGGGAGCCCGTGCTGGTGCTCCAGCCCTCGCTGTCTGCCCACAAGGCTGGAACACGCACAATCTATTGCCTGCATCCCCCCCAGCTCTGGAGTGCAGGGGAAAGTGGAGAGGGTCTTTCTCCTTCTCAGATGGGGGCCACGTCGGGGGGGTTGTTGGTTTCCGTTTTGCTTCTCACTGGTGTGTGGCCCTGACTGATTTTTCTGTGGGTCTGTGGCCTCCCGACCCATACAAAAACCCTAGCCCCTCCCCCGCTGGACGGGTCTTGGTGCCACCAGATGAGAGGGTGTGCACCACAAGGAAACACAGACCAGGCAGCACTCCCCGCTGCTCCCGGCTCTCTGTGCACAGTCGTTGCTTCCCCAGGCTGGTGGTGAACTAGCCATATATCCCCTTGAAAAGTCCCCCAGGGCAGGAAGAGCAGGGGAGGACAAAGCGAAGTGGCTGCGAGTGAGCCAGAGAGCCCCCCGTTCACCAGAGAGCCTGGGAAGAGGCTGTTAGCCTGGCCTCGTTCTCAGTCAGCCAGCCGCGGTTACGGTGAAGGACGTTCATTCCCCGTCTGCTTCCAGCCTCCTCGGCCGAATTCTCAGTCTCCAGGTGGAAGGGAACATTTCTGCCAAGGCCAGACTGGTTCAGGATGATACGGGCGCCCCCAAGTTCGTCGTGGAGGACTGCAAGACGCAGCTCGTCAACGTTCGCATCCTCCTCAAGTGGGTACCGCTCGTTTCTGCTGTGCCAGTGAGGCGGCATGCCGGACACCAGCCACTTACACCAGAGTCTGATTGTAGAATCCCAGAACTCTAGGACTGGAAGGGCCCTCGAGAGTCAGCAAGTCCAGTCCCCTGCCCCCATGGCAGGACCCAGCACTGTCTAGACCATCCCTGATAGACATTTATCTAACCTGCTCTTGACTATCTCCAGAGATGGAGATCCCACAACCTCCCTGGGCAATTTATTCCAGTGTTTGACCACCCTGACAGGCAGGAACTTCTTCCTAATGTCCAACCTAAACCTCCCTTGCTGCAGTTTAAGCCCATTGCTGCTTGTCCTGTCCTCAGAGGCCAGGAAGAACAATTTTTCTCCCTCCTCCCTGTGACACCCTTTTAGATACCTGAAAACCGCTCTCATGTCCCCCCTCAGTCTTCTCTTTTCCAAACTAAACAAACCCAATTCTTTCAGCCTTCCCTAATAGCTCATGTTCTCTAGACCTTTCCTCTTTCTTGTTGCTCTTCCCTGGACCCTCTCCAATTTCTCCCCATCTTTCTTGAAATGTGGTGCCCAGAACTGGACACAAGACTCCAGCTGAGGGGGCCTAATCAGTGTGTATTCCTGAAAATTCAAAGGTATTTGCCGACTTCTTCTGTCCCGCATGGGGCTGGAGAACGGGCGGGTGCTAAAATTCCTATGATACCGACATCTTGTGCTGATTGTGTGTTCTTCCCTCTTGTGCGTGGGTCTTACCTCTAACTGTGTGTTCTGCTGCTTAGCGCGCTCCGACTGCACCCCGCCATGCTGAACAACGCCATCAAAAGGGTCCTGCCTCGCCTGGTGAGTCCTGCCAAGCAAAGCCGGCCCGTAGGCCTCTGTGGCGCAGGGCCAGCGGGGCTCTGGGCATGAAACGGGCATTTGTGTGAGTCAAGACACCCTCCCCAAAGGAGGGGCCGGCCCTTGTGCAAATGTGGCTTTTGGGGTGCGCAGTAGCCTGTTGTGTGCTTAGCTAGCCACACGGGCACTTATCCGCTCTTACGCCTCCCCCGTCCACGGACACGTGAATTAATGCTGCACTTTGTGCACGTCAGTGGTGGAAAACTCGCCCGTGGGCTGAAATTCACCAGGGTCAGAGAGTCCACATGCAGCTCAGTTAATAGAGCTCTGCAGGGGTGGGGGGGGGGGGGCTTCTGCACCCCCTGGTGCACCACAGCTGTGTCCCATCCCTGAGGCCAGCCCCGGCCCTTCATTCGTCAGCCGTGAGGCTGCAGAGGGTGTTTTCGGAGAGGTTCCCTGGGCAGGCAACTGAACTGTACGGAAGCCAGTGCTCAGTGTCACGTGCAAGTAGGGCCTTTCCCCCGTGTGTTACAGCTGTGCCCTGTCACCGACACCGTGCTCAACGCCGTGAACTCTCTGCTGCGCACCGTGAACTGTGAGTAGCTCCCTTCCCGCCCCCAAACCTTCTCCGCTGCCCCGCCACGGTGCTGGGGCACGCAGGATGTACTAGGCTGGGCCCCCGAGGCTCCAGTGTGTGAGGGGAGCGTGGTAAGAGCCTTTCTCCTACTCAGTCGGGTGCCACCTCAGTGAGGGCTTTTTCCGTGTGGCCCCCGACTGATCTTTCTGTGGGTCGGTGGCTCCTGACCCCCAAAAGGCTCCGGCCCAGCTATAACCCGGTTTTTGGGAGGCCGACCTGCAGCGAAAGGGGCAGCGTGTACGTGGCCAAAGCCACAGGGGACATTCTTTCAGACCCGTGGTCCCGAGAGCGGGGGATGGCAAGCAGTGCTTCCCCGCGGGGGAGGGGAAACGCGCTCAAGTTTCCGACGGCGGAAGATGGCGGGAAAGTTGGAAGGCTGCTTTGGGACTCCCCCTGCGGCGTCCGTGAGCGTTTCCCTCCTGAGGGCCACGCGGCCCTGAGGGAGCATCTCGCAGCTCAGCTCCGCGCCAGGCCCCACCGCCTTGCTCAGGGTCAAACCGGCCACTGGGGCGTCCACGGCACGGTCCCTTCCCAGCGGGAGTCATGCCCAGGGCGGCCACCCCCAGAAGTGTTCAGCTGGGACCCGGGCGCTGGGGGAGAGCCAAGAACATTGGGGTCCCGGGCCCTGACGGGGCTCCTGGGGCACTGGTGATACTAGTGATGGATAATGACAGGAACAGAGGTCGGGGCACGTCCCCTCATCCCATTTTCAGAGACCCTCTGTGACAGCACGTCGGGGTCCCCCGCCTCCTGCACCCCCGTAGTGGCACGGACAGACTCCCCAGCCAGTAGAATAGGGGGAGTTTATTGCTTCTCCACGATACAGCACAGCACAGATGGAATCTGGTTCCAGGGCAGGCCTAGGATGCCTCAGCCCCCTTGAGATGGGGAGACTGGGCCCCTAAATCCCAGCCCCTTTCCCTAGGCTGCTTCCTCCATGATACCAGCCAGAAACTAAAACTCTCCTCCAGCCCTGCCCCCCAGCCAGGTGCTGGTCTCCGCCCCCCTCCGGGGAGGCTGCGCCCGGGTGAATCCACATTTGGGGGAGTCAGTGAGAATCTCCCATCCCAGCGCAGGGGCCCGGTCACAGAGCAGACAGCCCCCCCCACTCCGCACCCTCTTTGTGTCCTGCAGCGGAGGCCCCACTGGGCGCGGTAGGAAATCTCCAGTACGTCTTATCCAAGGTCCCCGTGGTCAGCAAGGCGGCGATCGGCCTGGATTTAAATGTAAGTGCTCTCCCTGGCCTGCGCCGGGGGTTCCCTGCGCCCGCAACGCGCCCGCAGCGCTGGGTGCCGCTTGTGCTCCCCTCCGGCGCGGTGACTAGTTCAGGGAAGCCCTGCTGTCCCCGTGGCCTCCAGCCGAGGACTCCGTCAGAGGGCCCAGCAGTTGGTCACGTTCTTACGGCCTCTTGGTCCCTCTCCGTAGACGTCCTGGCCTGCGGAAGCGCGGGGGTGGGCTAGGAGAGATGGAGAACGGGGCCGATAGCTATTCGCTTAATGCAACAAGGTTACGTTGGTCTGCAATCCGCAGCGCCTAAGGTCGGCGTTCCATAGGCAACAGTGGTCACTCTGGGTCAGTGGCTCGCAGAGTGTGCTCCGTGGACCACTAGGGATCTGTGGCCAACTTGTAGGTGGGCTGTGGGCTCAGAGCTCCCGCCCCAGCACTGGGGAGCATGTGCTGCTGCTCCAGCCCCGCACCTCCCCAGTGTGGTTGGAGCCCCAGCTTCCCGCTATGGGGAGGAAGTGGCTCCGTGCACTGCCACTGCCCTACCCCTGCTGGGAGAATGCCAGTGAGGAAACCACTGGCCTGGAGGTTTTCCCCACTGCTCCCATTGGCTGCAATCATGGCCAATGGGAGCAGCAAGGGGTGTACCTGGGAGCGGTGGGGGGCACAGAGCCAGGTAAGTGCCCCCTCATGCCCAGACCCTGCACCCCCATCCTCCTCACGGACTCTCTCCCCCCGCCTCCAGCCCCCTCCTGCACCTAACCTCCCACCCAGACACCCCGCCTCCGGCCCCCTCCTGCACCTAACCTCCCACCCAGACCCCCCACCCCCGGCCCACTCCTGCACCCATTTTGTCACCATGGCTGGCTGGCTGGTGGTCCACGGAAAGGTTTGCGTTGAGTGGGGTGGGCCGCGGGCCGAAGGTGTGAGAACCGCTGCTCTGTATTCAGGCTCCGTTTGGCAAAGGCTAATCCCTTGAGCAGGCATTATCAGCACATTGCGGATTCCAGCCGTCTGTGCAGAGGGGGGTGCTAAGCAGGCAGCTGACGATAGCACAGATGTTTCTAAGCCATGGCCTCACGCAGCCTGTCGATCTGTCGGATGCATTGGCTGTGGATTAGCCATTCATTAAACCCTCTATTAATTGCGCACAGGCCATTTCTGAGCGACTGGGGACTGGACTTTCTCTGCTGGGGGGCCCCTTGGTGCTGGCTCAGTGACTCGTGCATTTCGTGGTCGGGAATTTTGTCCCCCTTCTAACCTTTCTTTCAGGCGGTAGTGAAGGATTTGCTGGGCAACCCAGTGGAGGACCCCGCGTGCTCAGCAGCGAGCGTGTCTCTGCCGCCAGTGGTGGGCGCCGCCGGCCAGCTTGGCCTCTCGGTCTGTCTGCTCGGGTCGGTGCTCAACCTGCTGCAGGTGCCCGGGAAGCTCGACGCCGCCGTCGACGGCCAGCTGGTGAGCACTGCAAACCGGGAAGGGTCGCTTTCCCTGGAGGCCCCCGGCCTCGTTTTTCTGTCAAACGGCCTCAGAACAGTTTGGCTCCCTGGGATACGATTCCCAGCCTCGTGTCCTTGGAGAACGCCCGGGGCGCGAGCTTGCACGGTGCAGGGCTGGGCTGCTGCAGAGCTGAGCCCCAGGTGAGCCGGGAAACCGGAGCCTGCCTCACGGAGAGGCTCCTGCACAGCTGCTGACTTGTAGCTACCTGGAGTGGCAGTCGGGTTGGGGGGGGGGAGTCCAGTTGTGCCCTCATTGGCTATTAAGCCCGGGTCTCTTGAGACAGGCCCCATTTCTGCCCATCCCCTGAAAGATTTTTACTCTGTAATAAGGGCACAAGGGGCTCCAGGCTTCTGCTCCATGCAAACGACTGAGAAAAGTAACTTCACGGTGCCCAGCCTTGCGTGGGGTTGGGAGGCCACAGAGCCTACAGCTGGTGGGGCTGGGGGGGGGGGCAGAGAGCCCACAGCTGGCAGGGCTGTGACACGGGTGACCCCCTAACTCAGCCGGGGATGCTGGTGCCCTCCCCAACCTCTCCAGTCCAGACCAGTCTAGTCCTGAGGGTGCCGGCCCAGGGAGGTCCAATTAACGGTGATCAGTCACAGGCCTGACTCGGCCCCGGAGCAGTGAGAGATGAAACTGGGCCTCCCAACTCTCCATGCTTCGATCGCTGCTTCGGCACGACTAGCATTGCTGGCTGGGTGAAGAACCGTTCCTCGGGCGAATGGTTTCTGTGTGACCCAAGGGCCGCCACTCAGCTAGCAGGCTCACGTCCCGTTTCGCCTCCAGCTTGCAGCCGACAGCCCCCTGACCACCTCTGCCCTCAGCGCGCTCATTCCGGAGGTGAGTGCTTTGACGCTTCTCCCGGTTTCGGCCATCTCCCTCTTCCCTCCGAAATCCGCCACGTCGTGCGGTGACTGAACCCGGGTGACTTTGCGCAGGTTTCGGGCCTGCTGTCCGGGTCACAGCAGCCTTTGCTGAAGGTCAGAGTTCTGGACACGCCACAGGTGTCGGTAGAAAATGGGAAAGTCATGGTGCACCTCCCCGCGTCCGTCGAGGTCTTCCCCTCCAATTCGTCCCAGCAGTCGCTCTTTGTCCTGAACACTGTAAGTATATGAACAGGAGAGTGGCCAGGCTGGGTCCGACCAAAGGGCCATCTAGCCCAGTGTCCTGTCTTCCGACAGTGGCCAGTGCCAGGTGCCCCCAAGGGAGTGAACAGAACAGAGAATCCTCACGTCATCCCTCCCCAGTTACCCATTTCCAACCTCTGGCAAACAGACTCTGGGGTCACCATTCCTGCCCATCCTGGCTAACAAGTATTGATGGACCCAACCTCCATGAATTCATCTAGTTCTTTTTGAGCCCTGTTAAAGTCCTGGTCTTTACCACATCCTCTGGCAAGGAGTTCCACAGGTTGACTGTGCGCTGTGTGAAGAAACTTCCTTTTGTTTGTTTTAAACCTGCTGCCTATTCATTTCATTCAGTGACCCCTAGTTCTTTGGTTATGGGAACAAGTCAATAATTTTTCCTTCTTCACTTTCTCCGAATGTCTTGATTTTATAGACTCACTATCCTACCCCCTAAGTCTCCTCTTTTCTAAGATGAAAAGTCCCAGTCTTTTTAATCTCTCTTTATATGACACTCATTCCAAACCCCTCATCATTTTTGTTGCCCTTTTCTGAACCTTTTCCAATGCCAATAGATCTTTTTTGAGATGAGGCAACCACAGCTGTACGCAGTATTCAAGGTATAGGTGTACCATGGATTATACAGAGGCAATAAGATATTCTCTGTCTTATTCTCTATCCCCTTTTTAATAATTCGTAAGGGCACATCTATGCAGCAGGGCTAAAGGTGAGATAAGCTATGCAACTTGAGCTACGTCAATTGCGTAGCTTAAGTCAAACCAGCTTAGTTCGGCCTTTGGCACTGTCTACACAGCAGGAAATCCGAGAAAAAGCACTCTTCCTCCAACTTTCCTTACTCCCCGTAAAATAAGGGTTACAGGAGTCAGAGTAAGCAGTTCTCTACCTCGACATTATTTCAACATTGTGTCAAAAGAACTGCTTGTAGTGTAGACGCGGATTATGTTATTTTGAAATAACCTCAGTTATTCCAAAACAATGCTGCTGTGTAGACGTAACCGAACAATCTGGGTATGTCTAGACTACATGCCTCTGCTGACAGAGGCATGTAAATTAGACTACCCGACATAGTCAGTGAAGCAGGGATTTAAATATCCCCGGCTTCATTAAAATAAAAATGGCTGCCACGCTGTGGCGGCTCAGCTGATTGTCGGCACAACGCGGCAGTCAAGACGTGGATCGGTCGACAGGGGAAGCTTTTGTCGACCGCTCCTGTAAACCTCGTTTCACAAGGCACAAGGGAGCGGTCGACAAAGGCTTCCCTGTCGACCGATCTGCGTCTTGACTGCCGCTCTGTGCCGACGATCAGCTGAACCGGCACAGCACAGAGGCCATTTTTATTTTAATGAAGCGGGGGATATTGAAATCCCCGCTCCATTGATTGTTGGGTAGCCTAGTTTACATGCTTCTGTCGGCAGAGGCATGTAGTCTAGACATACCCTCTGAGAACAAGTTCAGATTCATCTCCGTTGAGTCTGAGAGCAGCACAGAGGAGTCCGGGGCATTTTGGGTCTTTATCCAGCAGCTTCATGATGCCTTTTGGTGTGAGAGAAACCCATGGAAAATGGGATTTGGGATTACTGTTCTCTGCTGTATTCTTAAACACCGCAGCGTTTCTACATGCAAAAGGCCTTGTGTTTCCAGTGCATGGCTGGGCATGCTATCAAATGCACACAATAAAACATGAGGAGAAACCAAATGTCAGCGGGGGAATGGTCCTGCTATTGTGGGGAACTTTCCTGGCTTCTAGACCACCCTGGTGAAATGGACCAGCGAAAGGATCCGAGTCCCTGCTCCCACTTCCTTTACTCCACGGCCTCCCTGATCCTTCTGATAAAGAAGAAAAGTCCCAAAATGTGGTGCAAAAATCACACTGCCGCAGTCTCCCGAAAGGGCCTAGGAGGAGTGGTGCCTGGAGCTGTTTCCAGATACTTGGCGTTTTGTTTTCAATCTGGGAAATGGGAGGGGATGGAACCAAGTTGCTTTATTTTGTTGCTCTCGTTGCAGGATGTTGTTCTGAGTGCCCAGCCGACTGTTTCAGACAACACCCTCCACCTCTCCCTGGCTCTGGAAAGGTAACCTGGGTTTTGTCCTCCTTCATATGGGGAGGGATATTCCTCCAGACAACAAGAGGCTGAGACAAGCCGTAATGGAAACACAACACCAACCCCAACCCCAACCCCAACCCCACACCGTTTGCTGGTGATAGATATTTGAAAGGTAGAATCTGAAAAGAATAACAAATAATGAGGGCGCATTAGCTAATGAAGAATACCCTTCTATTTTCAGCGTGGTTTTTACAGAAATGGTTTATTCATATGCTGTCATAATCAGAAGCAGTGCTGCTCAAGAACCGGTGACTCAGGGGTTAACCCAGGTACCCAGCAAAGGTGTTAGGGCAAGTGGTTCCCAAACTTTTCAGCATCATGCCCCCTTTTTGATTTTTGAGAAATCCTCCCCCCCCCTCCCCCGCCCATAGCAGCAAAACTTGTTGAGCAAAAAAAAGGAACTGACTAGGGCTGAAAAACAAAAATAGCAGCAAAACTGGGGGAGGGGGGGGGGTATGGGTCACCTCGTGCCCCCCCTGGAATTTCTTCAGGCCCCCCAGTTTGGGAACCCATGTGTTAGGCAGTCAGCTGTGTCCTTAGGACTAAGGGCCTAGTTACAAGGGCAGAGTCTATTGTTGTCTGTGGATTCTCTCTCTTTACCCAAAGCGATTCCCTCTGTTTTCCCAACTCCAAGCAACATGGAGGTCGGGGTGAGGGGGGAGAGCTTTAACTTAGGGAAGGAATTCCCAAGTGATCTCTTCCCTGGTTTTCTCGGAATCGCTTGGGTGGTGGCGGCGAGGAACCAGTCTTGTTTTCTTTTTTGAATCTCGGAGGGACTCTGGTTGAATAAATTTGTCCTTGGGAATCACAGAGACAGGTTTTGCAGAGGCTACTCTGCTTGCCAGCCCCCCACCTCTGCATGCATCATTTTTGGGGGTTTGAGCCGTGACACATGCATAAGACAAATTCAGGACCACGTGGGCATCTCGTTACCACTCCAAGCCTTGCTTCCCGTTGGACTCCGCAGTATTGTTGCAATATGTTGTGGTCTATGGGAATTAGGCACTGGCACGTCAAAGTCTAGATTTTCCAAGTTCTGTTTATTTAATGCTAAATTGTTTGTGTGTGATTGTGTTGCCATCCCAGTGAACCGGTGATTTTCTCTGATCTCCTAATGAGTCTTTCCTCCAGCTTTGCAGCTAGCGTGTAGCATAGTCTCTGATCGTCTTGACTTTTTCCATTTTTTTGTAGAGTTAACCTTACGCTGGCGTCTTCGCTAATTGGGGATTTCAATGTAAGTTCATGACCTCACTGACACGCATGCGGCGAAACACACACTGAACAAAGTACAGTGATGATGGAGACTGTAGCTAAGGAATAAGGAACAAAAATTCTAATAAGTGTTGGTCTCCAGGCTTGTGTAGCGGGGGAAAGTTCAGGGTTCTCACCCGTGGAGAGGATTATTTTCACTGACTCCTGTTAGCATTCGCTCTGCGCCATTCTGATTGCTAAGAATTGCGTTTGAATATGTGAATTAATTCCGCCAGATTGTGAGTTTGTGATGGTTGCAGGAAAGGGGGGATGGGAGCGGAGCCCAATTAGCCTCATGTCTGCGATTAACCCACCCACGTTCAGCCCCGAAAAAGTTGGGAAACCGTTCCTCAGCGTTGCATTTGAAGAGCTCCGGGTGTGCTGCCCTGGGAGACTTTGCTCAATACCCGTGACATCGCTCCGTTTTCTACCGGTGTCGTGCTAGAGAAAAGGGAGCTTTGCTCTCCCAATGCTGCACTTCTCTAGCACCGACGGCGTCTCCGGTGGGTGGAGAACAGCTGTTCAGGTCACTAGGGGCCACGTGAGAATCATTGATGCTCACTTCAGATCAAAAAGGTGCTTCGCAGATTGGACCAGTGGGGGCCTCTGGGGAGCTTGCGGAGGGCCACTCTCTGTCAGCACCTTCCATCCATGAAAGGCACTTAGATGACCTCTATTCCTGGCATGTCCAAGCACCTCATCACCTCTGAGGGCTTTCCCCGCACAGCCCTCCAGCGCGGTGGAGACAGGCTGCTATCCCCATTTGATAGGAAATGAGTCCTGGAGAAACAAAGGGGCTGGAAAGTCAGGGCGTTGCGTCCCGGGCGGTCCTCCACCTGTGAAATGGAAATGTCTTGCTTACCAAAGACAGTCCCTCAGTAACAGCTGGCAGCGGGGTGGGGGTGGGGCAGTCTGATCAAATTAGATCAAAATTCAGAGTCTCCACAAGGAAAGGGTAGATGCTCTGTTTCCCAGTCTGGAAATACGTGGTCACTAAGGGTACGTCTACACAGCAGCGTTATTCCGGAATAACATAGTGCACGGCTACGCTCCAAGCCTTTATTTCGAAATACTGTCGGATTTCTTACTCAGACTCCTGCAATTCTCATTTTACGAGGAGGAAGGGAAGTGGAAGGAGGAGTGTCCTTCCTTTGACCGCTTGCTGTGTAGACCATGCCAAAAGCCAAATTAAGCTATTTCGACTGAAGTTGTGTAGCTTAATTCGACTTCAGCCCTGCTGTGTAGACGTACCCCAAACCACTTCTCTCTCCATTGCAGGCTCCCCTTCTTGAACCATTAATCAGTGACATCCTCCGTGCTGTGTACGTGCCACACATCAATGGTACGGTCTTTATATTTCCGGTGCTGTCTCTGCCTCCCATATGTGTTTCCGAGTGCTCTCGTCTTTCCTCGCTCGGTACCTGCACAAGAATCAGCACAGGGCTGTTCGTTTCTAATACGCTGATAGTTTCTCCTTCTTTGTTTCAGCTGCATTGGAGATGGGGATTCCTTTGCCTGATCTTCTCAACCTGAAGTGGGAGAATGGTCTCGTTGGGACCACTCAGGTAAGGGTTTGCTCATTCCCACATTGTTTTCCGGGAGAGTTTCAGGGTGTTCTCTTTTCTGGATTCTCACTTGCTCAGACTTTGCAGTCACATGTTGCTAGACCCTGCCAGCCTCTGCCTGAATTTTCCAGAGGAGCCTCAACTCAGCCTCTGAATTTGTGCCTACGTTTTTCTTCTATGTGTGTTTTGTAGCCCTTTGTTAACTCAACTGCTGCAATGTAGACAATTGAGTGATAGATTTTGTGTACACACAATTAGTGCAGGTGCAAAATATGGTAGCAAATTAGAGGCCACTTCTGAAAGTGTCGGCCTGGTAAAACTTGACAGATCCCGCTGCTTTATTGAAAAAAAAAATGCCTTCTCGCCACAGCCTGGCTGGAGCATAGAGCTAAGTGTACATAGTGGAATCAATTTCATACTTGCCAAATCTTCACATCTAAGAGATGGTTTGTAACTCCCCCTCCTGTTCCAGCCATGCTGTTGCCTGAAAGGAGACCACCAGTCATATGATCCAGGCAGTAGCTTTGTGAAGTGGAAACGTTAAACGTTTGCTATAGATTGGATCTGAACCTCTGATTTCCACTTGGGATCAAAGCTAAGGTCATTAACCCCGTGTTCTATGGACAGGTAATGTAGCTCCTGTTAACTATTGCTCTTGCTTTACATGGCCTCTCTAGTGAGAGACGGTGGTGAAAATTCCAGTGAGAAAATGGAATTCTCTTGCACGTGTGTCTTTTTCTTTCTGGCAGAATTCACTCGTGGTTAAGGCGCAGGCCTAAAGCCTCCTGCGATAGGCGAGCGTTTGGGACCGCCCGCCCCTGTGTCGGGAGGAAGGGGAGAATTCACGACCGAAGACGCCGGCCCTTTCTTACTTTTGCTCTCTGTGACTTTTTGAGTCAAGGCTCTGGCGGTAGACCCAAAACGTGCTGCTTCTGATCACTGAATCCAGTTGTAGGAGAGACTCCGCTGGATTGAAATTACTGCTCAAGTGGTTGCAAAGAGTTGGGATTTTCTAAGCGTCAAGCGTGTTTGGAGCCGAGAGCCCTGCACGGTGCGCGCGGGTGCTTTCTGCGTTTCTTGTGCCGCTGTCAATAAACACTTTCGTTGCCTCAGCATTCCCGGCGTGGTGTGGTTCCCCCTTTGCTGTAAGACACGGGGTGTCAGAAAACGCTTCTGCTCCCCTCACAAATCCAGAAATGTGCCTCTGGCAATACACTCCGGGCGTCGGATGGTAAACGGCAGCCATCACCTGAGAGTCCCCTAGGTGGCTGGCTACAAAAGGTCGCATTTCTGAAGCGCAACACAAGACATAAGCCGCCCCAGAGGCAGGCCTATGGTGGGTCGCTCCCCCCACCTCCGTCCAGGAACTCAGCCAGCTCTGTGCTTCGTGCTCGTTAACGCGACCGGGGAGTTTATTTCCAGTGTTTTAATCCCTCCCCAAATGCGGCAGTGTCTGCGCTCCCTCCACACAGCCCGAACCCCTTCTCCGAAAGGGGGTGTGGGGCAGGGCCGTAACAAGGGCGAGGCGAGTGAGGCACTAGCTTCGGGCGCAGAGCTGAGGGGGCGCAGAACAGACCATGACTGCACGGCCTTCGCTCGTGCCTCATCAGCACCTCAGGTGCCAAATTAGCTAGTTTCGACTCTGGTGTGGGGGAAGGGAGGGTTTAAAATTCACCTGAGAGGCCTGCCTTTCCCAGCCTTCCATGTCTCCCCTACCCCTGAGCCAGCCTTCCTGTGCCCTGGGGTACAGCTTCCCTGTCAATGGGCTCACTAGCCCCAATTTGGCTTGGTGATCAGGTACAGCTCTGTACAGCGGGGGTCTCTCAGTGGGAGGAAGGGGGTCCAATTAGTGCTACCAATGACCAGCCCCCACAGCCCTGTCACAACACCCTTGCCCACCCAGTGGGCAACGCCCCACGTGTCCATGCATCAGTCACACGTGCCACAGCGTCCTTGGGAAGGTTTCAGTCCCCACCCGCCGGCTCTAGGCAATGCTCCCTCTGTCTTTCCAATGCTTGTCCCCTTTCAGCTCCTGCGGTGCGGGGGCTACCCCATGCCCCTGGAGTGGAGCCTTTCTGCTCATGTGGCCCTCTTGCTTGTCAGGTCTATGCACCTCAGTCAGCCTTATCCCCATTTTACAGACAGGGGGTGCACCCCGTGACTTACTCAAAGACACGGGGAGTCTGGAGTGAATCAGGAATTGAACACGGGTCTCTTGAGTGCTCATCAAGTGCTACTGCCAATTAGACCAGCCTTCCTCGCTGGGGCCTTTCTCCTGCATTGGAACAGCTGATCGAGGGAATGGGGGGGGGGTTCCTTGCTCACCCCCTGCCTGGCTGAGCAGGCCCCCTTTGCTGCATCCTCCCCACCCGTCCCTGGGGAGCGGGGCCCAACGTGCCAGAAACGGCTGAGGAGTTCCACCGCCAACGGCCGGATTTTCGAGGTCCCCGTTGACTTCCGAGGGGAACCGCACGTGCCCCGCAGCTCCGAAACGTCATCCATTGGCCGATTAGGAACGGTCCCTTGAATCACTCCCTGGTGACCTGGACGCTTTGTTCCTTGGGCCTCAGGTTGCTGCGTTGCTATGGTGATCTCTCCGTGGCTGTTCACACGGGCCAGGTTCAGATCAGCATCTGGGTTGGTGGAGTCGCTTCACGTGTACTGGGGGTGCCCTGGTCCCTCGGGCATGTCCTGCCCAGTACATTGAGCCAGGCCTATTCAAACATCCCTCTCACACGCCAGGTGCCATGGGCCCTGCTGAATGTGCAAACTGTCCACGCAGGCAGCTTCTAGCTGGCCTGCCAGCTCTTACAGGGAGCTGCTGCGGAGATACCAGGCCGGCCCCTCGGCTGCCCGCCGTGGTACCTCGCGTGTGGCTTCTACCCAACCCGGGCCTTGGCCGTGAACAGCCACACCAGGCACCCAAGGAAGGGCTCTTTGGAGATGTGCAGAAATAGGCCGGGGCCTTAGCTAGGGCGTATGGCCTAGTGCCGCTGGTAGGTCTCACGCGTGGGCCAATTTACCCCAGCGGAGGAGCCGGCCCGAAATCATTCTTGTCTGTGTTGCCATGGAGACCACTAAAACGGGGAGGGAGGGGTGACAGCGCAAAGCGCGGCCAGGCCGATGGTCTGTCGGGTTTCGGAGGAGAACGGCCCATTTACTAACCCTGAGGGGACGGATAAAGCGTCTCTGAAAGCAGCAGGGCTGCAGCATCTTCCCCCCACCCCAATGGTTGGGTCTCTGGACCATATATTGGACTCAGTGGACTCATGTTTCCTTCCACAGGGAGTCAGGCATGTGCACAACCATCCTTCTGTGTCAGCCCTGAGCCTGTCTGGCTCCCTTCCCGCCTGTGCCGGGCAAAACCCCGTCACACCAACGGGTATGGGGAAGCCACACCAGCAAAAGGAGCCCTGGCAACTCTGAAGCGAATTAGGGACAACCATTCTGGCAAGTCATTTTCTCTCTGCTTGCCCAGTGCTGGCTGACAAGTTGCACGTACGATCGCCTGCTTTGCACACGCAACGGTGGCAGTCGTGCGCGTAAGTTCAGAGCCCCGGTGAACCTCAATTTGGAAAGTCTGCCTGGGATTCACACACATAGTCTGAAAGCGGCCCAGAGTGGAGCAGCAAAGAGACGGTGCCCTAGGGGAAGATGGCACATTTTAAAAAACGTTTGCTCTTGGAACCACATTTGCCCGAGCTGCACGTGCTAACAGCCCATGAAAACGGTTATTAGAGGCAAAAGCCTCAGCTATGGGCCTGGCTACGCTGAGCCGACGGCCGGGTAGCTTTGTTTGGAAACGTGTTCCCCGTGTTGCGCGATGCACCTGCACGCTAACAAAAGGCTTCATCTCAGCAGGTGGCAACTCTTCAGGTGGATGAGGACAAAAGCACCATTCTGAGTGGATGGCAGCGTAAGCCGGGCGCTGAGACTCGGTGCCAGTTTCTCACTGGGTAGGAGCTGCCTGTAGAAAAGGCTTCGGTTCTATCAGTGACCCGATGGCGGCTGCGGAAACCGCAGATAAGCTTCAGGAAACACGTCTCAGCTTGAAAGTTTAAGAACATAAACCTCCCTCAGAGCTTTCCCTGAGCCCATCCCGCCCCCCCACATCCCCCTCGGCCGCGGGAGGGCCCCGGGCAGCCTGCAGACGCTCAGAGCTGGCTTTCAGCCGTGTGCTGCTGGGCTCGGCATGGGCAGGTTACCGGGGGACTTAGCGTCTTGTGTGGGGGCCATTTCGTTTGGTTCTCTGACGTGGCCTGTGCAGAACAGACAAGACGGGGGCGAGAAGCAGCTGCCGGAGCTGTTTACATGCGAGGACGGTTTGCATGAGCCATTTGCATGAGCTGCTTTGGGCACTCAGGGTGTGTCTACACGGCAATTGGGCTTCCGCATCGGGCCCATGCCGGCTGCCTCAGGCTCGCGGGCTTGGGCTGAGTTGTCGAACTGCAGGGTGGCTATTCTGGGACCCTCGCACCTTGTAACGTGCGAGATCCTGGGGTCTAGCCCATGCCCAGTGTCTACAGCACAGGGAAACAGCCCCTCAGCCCGACTGCACCTACTACTGCAGCATAGACTCACCCTGAGAGCGCGTTAGCTCTGATCTGGCTCTGCCGTTCTCTCTGAGCCCCTGAAATCCACATGGGCAAAACCGAACGTGCAGTTGCGGCTGCAGTTCACGGAGGGGTTACGAGTGCGGTTTGGGACGACGGGATGGTTCATGCAACTTGGTGTCTTAGAAGCCAGCCCACAGGCCGGGCGCGGATCGTCAGAGAGGGGAATACATGTAAAGACATAACTAATTGCCGCAGCTGCACCTAAGCATGGGGTATGCGCACACATGGTGCCGTCTAGCTGATCATTGTCTATGGGGCAGTCACAAAAACAAGGTGCCAAAATCTACATTTTGGGTCTGATTGTTCCAAGGAGCTGCCGCCGCGCAGCATCTCTGAGAGTCAGGCCGCGCCTCTACGGCCGCAAATACGGCATGAGCCAGGGCCTTGCTCTCCGCCGTCACAGCGGAACGATTTGGCCCCTCGGGAGCACTAAGCTGAGCCAGGCGAGTCGCCTGCGGCACAGATCACAGTGACAAGCGTGCGTTTGCATGCCCAAGGGCTGGCCGGCCGAGCGGTCCGTAACCCTTTTCTGGGCTATGCACATGAGCAAGAGGATGGGGCTGGCGGGAGCAGGAAACCAGTCCTATTCGGAACTGACCCTGTGTGCTTGGAGAAGCCCTTGGAATGCTGCGTAGCCGCACTGGCTGGTTAACCCGGGGCGTATCCGATACCTCTTGCTCAACAGCTCTCCCTGATTTACAAACAACTATTTATATTGGAATATGTCAAAACCACAAACATCCTATTTAGACTCAAGCCCTGATCCCAGCGTTTACCGTGTAGGCCCCGTTCCCACAGCAGCGTTTTGCTATATAAGACCTGCCTTCGCTTTATTTTCAAACACATTGGACTGGGTGCACAAGCTGCTTTGGGCAGCGACTGACCCTCGGGCGGACCACGAGCTGAGCAAATCAAGCAGAGCAGCACCTTTCCCACTCAGGATAAAGTCAGGTAAAGAAAGGAGTGAGCCCGGCGCAGGGCGCTTTTCGTGTGTGGCTAGCGCGGTTGGGACGATTTCATTGTTCTCGTGGTCCCTGCAATACGGCGGTGAAGAACGACTGTTCTTGAGCTTCCGATGTCTTGGGTAATCCTGGTGTGTGTGCCTCATTTGGGTAAAAAAACAAACATCGGAAAACAACGGTTCCGGCTATCGTTCCATTGAGGTGAATGAGATTTGGATCCGGTCCAACTGGAGGAGACGTCAGCCCCTTTATTCCTTTCTCTTCTCCAGCTCACGGGGAGGATGTGTTTATTTCTCACTTTCCTGTCCCCAGTTTCCTTGGGATTCCCTGTTCTCGTCACAGCGCAGCTCCCCAGGAATTGAAATGGGGGGGGTGTCCGACTATACAAGGGGGGTGTCAGGGCCAATGAGGGGTGAGACTGTGAGGGTGAAGGTGGGTTGTATGGAACCATAGTTCACAAAACTGGGGGGGGGTTGGAGAAATTCAGGGGGGTATACAACCCCATGCGGGGTGGAGGGTAGGGAAATCCTTGCAGCTCTCCCTCTTCCCCTTTTACAATGTGGCATGGTGCTAACCAGAAATGTTCTCAGCAGGGAGCAGACGCCAAGATGCTGAGGGGTCGGGCCGTCGTCCTCGTCTGTGACCTGCTCACGCTTGTGCTCAGCCAGCTCCCCCACAATGCTGTCCTCAGGGTTCGTGGAACCCGGGTAAGTCAGCTCCCCGTTATCAGCGGGGTACAGATGGAAATGGCCATTGCCAGGGCGCTGAAGCCACTGTGCGGACGAGTAGCACGTGGCCTGTTAGAGTGGGGAAAATGCCTGGCCAGGGAAAACCACGAGGCTAGCGGGGCAGGGAATCCGTGCAAAAACGAGACGTGAGTTCAGCAGACAGATATGTCAGAAAAGCTTCGTGCCTGCACCCTGACTCATGTGCTGTTGGCAGGACAGCACCAGTCAGGCATTTTATTCCGCTTCCCCGAGCAGTAGGCAAATCGCCTGCTCTGCTTCCCCAGAGGGGCCTGGCTGCCCCTCCCCGGAGCGTGGAAAGGTCCCGAATTCCCTTTGCTGGCAGGGCGAAGACAGCGGCTAGGAATTCAAATGTGTCAGAGCCATAGCTAGCACGACGCTTCTGGCCCTCCTGCGATTCTCCCCGGGCTTGAGCGCAGGGGCGTTTCGGTGGCCTGACGTCCCCCTTGTCAGAATGAAGTCGCCGGGGGAACAAGGGGAAGCCAGCGTGCCCCGGCGGAATGCTCACCACGTGCCGTGTTTCCAGCTGTCACAGGCTCGCTGACACGAGGCAATGCCTTCCGGCACGAACTCGGAGGCGCACCGCCCAGCGATGGAGGAGGAGACCTGCCCGGTGCAGGTCTCCTTGGTGGCGGTGGCGGTGGCGGTGGCGGTGCTGGAGGATTGCTTGGGAATGGGGGCCTGCTTGGGGGCATTACCGGGGGGTTACTTGGTGGAGGTGATGGAGGTGGGCTGCTCAATGGGATCACCGGTGGTTTGCTCAGTGGGGGTGGGCTGCTTGGCGGGATTACAGGGGGCTTGCTTGGTGGCGGTGGAGGTGGCGCACATGCCGGAGGCCCGATAAACGGTGCTGCTGGAGGCCTACCCGTGGCTGCTGGAGGGACACTCCCCGGTGGTGCTGTGGGAGGATTGCTCGGGGCCGGAGGCCTGCTCGGTGTCCTTGGAGGAGGAGGCCTGCTCGGTGTCCTTGGGGAAGGAGGGCTGCTCAGCACGGTCCAGGGGCTCACAGGGTAAGGACCACGCCGCTGCACAGTCACGGGCTGGAATGGAATCGGCTCCGGAGCAGGAGGGAAAATCCGCGAGGTCCGGAGTTAAAACCTCGTTGGCTTAGAAACCTGCCTGTCCGGGCGGTTAAACACTGGAATAAATTGCCCAGGGGGGTTGTGGAATCTCCATCCCTGGAGATATTTCAGAGCAGGCTGGAGAGACGCCTGTCAGAGAGGATCTAGACGGTGCTTGGCCCTGCCGTGAGCTTAAAGCTTGGTCTCCATCGGCAGTTGCATTCCCTCGGGAGAGGCATTTTTAACTGATGGGGGTTACCCGGTTTTGCTCTGCCCTGGAGGCATCGCTGACAACCTTGTGCAAGCATTTGAAGAGCCTGGTTTTAGAGGGGGCGCCAGCGGAACCTGGAGCCACGTGTCTCGAAACGGTGTCGCCTCTGGTCCCAGGCTCTGAGCAGAAGGGCCGCGGGTTCCGTGTGCCTGCGCCGGTGCTCAGCCGTGTCTCCAGACTCGCCCCGCCCCGGGAGTCACTCGGTCACGGTCGCTCTTTGCACCCCGCAGGTTGAGGATTGTGGAGCTAACACTCCCCAAAGTGTCCGTGCGGCTCCTGCCCGGGGTTGGACTCCGCCTGGACTTGTACACCCGCGTGGCGCTCAACGGGAAGAGGTGAGTCGGATGCGCGTGGGACCGCCAGTAAAACCGTCCCCCCCCGCTGGGCGTGGCCGGGGGGCAAGGCCCCTGGGGAAAGCCTCGGCTTCCAGGGCAGTGAAATGTGTCTCTGAATCACACGAGGAGCTCGGAGTCTCACTCGGTGATGGGCAACCTGCAGCTCATTGGGGTTCCCCCTGCACTCCCCTGTCTGCTCCCCTCCCCATGTGTCTGGGCACCTGAGCCCCACACTTCCTGCGCCTCCCCTCCCTCCCAGAGCGTGAACAGCCACAAGCACAGCTCTGGAAGCAGGTGAGGAGCAGGGACGGAGCACAACTCGGGATTGGTGGCTCCACCGAAAGTGCAGGGAGGAGGGGGAGGCATACAAAATGCAGGGCCCTGGTGCCCCCGTGCACAAGAGGCGTGGGGGAAAGGGGGACACACAAGGGAGTCTGTGGGGGGAACAAGCTGCTGCACCCCACTGAGACCAAGGAGGGCCACTCCTGTGGCCTGCTCGCTGTTCTCAGTCACCCGTCGCGGGTCTCGCTCCGGGGAAGTGATGCAGAAGCTGAGGGGCGATATACTGGCATTAGAAAAGGTTCAGAGACGGGCAACTAAGATGATGAGGGGGTTGGAACGGGTCCCATATAGGAGAGATTAAAAAGACTGGGACTGCTCAGTTTGGAAATGAGGAGACTAAGGGGGGATAGGATAGAGGTTTATAAAATCATGAGTGGTGTGGAGAAAGTGACTAAGGAAACGTTATTGACTTGTTCCCATAATATAAGAACTAGGGGCCACCAGATGAAATTAATGGATAGCAGTGTGACGGACTAGGCCGTGTCTGGGCACAGCTGAGGGCATCCGCTCAGGGCGAATTGCTCAAATCCGGGGCTTCTTACAGCCCCCTTGACTGGTGACCTCTCCAAACAGGCCACAAACCAGTCCCACAGAGCGCTTCAGCTGCCTGCCTGAAGCCTCCTGAGCAAAACCCCTCCGACACCCCAGCAATATCCGTGCCCCAGATGGCCCCGGGCCTCATACACAGGTGGGGGGGTCCTAGCACCCAATCCCACCTACCCCGAACAAGTTCTGTCCGGTTCCAAGAAACCAGCCACAGATCCCTGGTCAATTTACCCTCTGGACCTTACCACAAATCACGCTGGGCCAATCCTTTAGAATCTATATCTAAAGGTTTATTATTACAAGAAAGAAAAGCACGAGAGTAAGGTTATTAAAGTACAGTACGTTACATGCACCGAATCTCCCAGTTCTCGATGCAGGCTCTAGCGGAGATGTTGCAGCTGCTGGTTAAAAGTCCTTATTGCACATCCTACGATCAGGATGGGTTCACAGGTCTTCCGGGCTCTTCAATCCCTGCAGTGCTGCCTCTGGGATGAAGTGCTGAGCTGAGAACAAAATGGCATCGACCACATGGCCTCTTTATACTCCTTCCTGGCCTCTCTTGCATGCAGCAAGTCACCTGGTCAGAGGCCAATCTCTGCTGGCAGCCCTTGGGTCTCCGCCCTCCTGCTTTAGGTGTGTCTTTGGGCCATCAAGGGCCATTGTTCCACAGGGCTTTGCTACCCAGCCTGTCCATAGCAATGCTCAACCACATTCACAGAAATATTCAGCTTCCACACATATTACAGATTCCTACCTACACACATAGACATTATACATTCACATAAATAGCGTACATAAGATCAGCAAACAATTCAATCCCCATTCAATCCCCCCATACCAATTTCTGGGGCCAACACCCCCACCCAGGGGTGCAGCAGCGATCTGGCTGCTTCCCTCCAATTCAGCAACGTGACAAGCAGGTTTAAAACAAATAAAAGGAAGTTCTTCTTCACACAGCGCACAGTCAACCTGTGGAACTCCTTGCCGGAGGAGGCTGTGAAGGCTAGGACTGTAACAGGGTTTAAAAGAGAACTAGATAAATTCATGGAGGTTAAGTCCATCAATGGCTATTAGCCAGGCTGGGTAAGGAACGGTGTCCCTAGCGCTGTGTGTCAGAGGGTGGAGATGGATGGCAGGAGAGAGATGGCTTGATCATTCCCTGTTCGGTTCCCTCCCTCTGGGACACCTGGCACTGGCCACGGTGGGCAGACAGGACCCTGGGCTGGGTGGGCCTTTGGTCTGACCCAGCCTGGCCGCTCTGATGTTCTTACGACGTGGGATGGGCGTTGATGGAGCAGGCGGGCCGAGGAGGAGCACTCCGAGTTTGGCCTCCAGGCCCCGGGAGCAGCATGCTCTGCCCTGGCAGCCCCCTCAGCAGGCTAAGGACTGAGGGTCCCCTGCCAGGGGGAGGCGGGCTCAGGGTGGGGCTATGTTAGGCAGCAAGCGCCTGTCGTCCCCTTCGCATCCAGGCAGCTGGAGGCTTGAGGGCCTGTACTCTGCAGGGAGCACATCTGTCCCTGGGTGGGGGCCGCGGGGGCCACAATCAAACCGTTTATCGGGAGGCGGGCGCTGGCCGGGGACAGCCCCCCGGTCTCCAGGTGGGGGCCTCCATTAGCCTGACCCTGCTCTCTGCCGCCGGCGCAGCCTCCTGGGCTTGCTGGACATCGCGGTGGAAGTGAACATCACGTCGGACGTCAGGCTGACCATGGACGGGACCGGTTACCCCAGGCTGGTGCTTGAAAACTGTGACACCCTTCTGGACGGCATCAAAATCAGGGTCCTTCGAGGGTAGGTGCCGGGGTATTTTAAACCGGCCGGCGTGCGCCTGGGCAGTGCAGCTGCATGTCTGGAAATGTTTGTACATGTTTGTGCCTAAATCGCACGTGCGCTAGCGGCCATTGGGGTTCGTTAAGCCGCTCAGGTCCATGTGCAATTAACAAACCCAACATAGAATCATAGAACTCCGGGGCGGGCAGAGACCACAGGAGTCACTGAGTCCAGCCCCCAGCCCAAAGCAGGACCAACCCAACTCCGTCATCCCAGCCAGGGCCTGGTCAAGCCAGAACTTGAAAAACTCTCGGGTTGGAAATTCCACGCCCTCCCTAGGGAACCCAGCCCAGTGCTTCACCACCCTCCTAGGGAAATAATTTTTCCTAATATCCAACCTAGACCTCCCCCACAGCATCTTGAGACCATTGTTCCTAGTTCTGTCATCTACCACCATTGAGAACAGCCTCTCTCCATCCACTTTGGAACCTCCCTTCAGGCAGTTGAAGGATGCTCTCAAATTCCCCCTCACTCTTCTCTTCTGCAGACTAAACAAGTCCAAATCCCGCGGCCTGTTCTCATAACTCATGCTTCAGCCTCCTAATCATGTTTGTTGCCCGCTACTGGACTTTCTCTGTGTCCCATTCTTTCTGGAGTGGAGGCTCAGAACTGGACACAATACTCCAGATGTGGCCTCACTAGAGCCAAATAAAGGGGAATAATCACTTCTCTAAATCTGCTGGCAATACTCCTAATGCAACCTAATACGCCAGGGCTACGTCTACACTGGCATGATTTTCCGGAAATGCTTAAAACGGAACAGTTTTCCGTTATAAGTATTTCTGGAAAAAGAGTGTCTACATTGGCAGGATGCTTTTCCGGAAAAGCGTCCGTGGCCAACCGTGGAACTGGAAGGGAACTTGCGAGCCCATCCTGTCCACATTTGTGGCAGGACTAAGCATCATCTAGATCAGGGGTGGGGAACCTTTTTTGGGTCAGGGGCCACTGAGCCACCGAAACATCAGTCGGGGGGGGCCACACACACAAGCGAGAAGAAAATAAAAACCTCGCTGACCTGGCCCCCCAAGTGAGAAGAAGGAAAAAAAAGACATCTCAGAACTTGCGAGCCCATCCTGTCCACATTTGTGGCAGGACTAAGCATCATCTAGATCAGGGGTGGGGAACCTTTTTTGGGTCAGGGGCCACTGAGCCACCGAAACATCAGTCGGGGGGGGCCACACACACAAGCGAGAAGAAAATAAAAACCTCGCTGACCTGGCCCCCCAAGTGAGAAGAAGGAAAAAAAAGACATCTCACGCTCAAGCCCCATCGGGGGGGGGGGGGGGGGGCGACCCAGGG